GGGAGGTCCGGGGCCGGGCCAAAGTGACGACGAAAGAGATTGTCGAGGCGGCGGAAACAGCGGGCGGTCGGGTGCGGGCGGCGGTACAGAGTGCCGCGAAGAGGCCCGGTCTGAAGCTGGTACTGGCAGGTGACAGCACCGGAGCCGCCGGTAGACGCCAAGCTGCGCGGGCCGCCACCACGGCCACTACCTCCGGAGGTGCCGGGCCAGCCAGGCGGGAGACGGGCCCACGGCTGTGGCGACTGCTGCTAGGACGGCAGCTGCTGCTGGGGCGGCGGCTGCGGCTGGGGCTGCTCCTGCTGCGGCTGGGGCTGCTCCTGCTGCGGCTGGGGCTGCTCCTGCTGCGGCTGGGGCTGCTGCTCCTGCCCACCAGTGGTAGTCCCCGCAGGCGGACTACCGTCACCACCACCACCTGCGCCACCACCCCTACCTCCCTGGCGACCACGGCCACCGCGGCACGAGCGCTGCTGCGGGTGGACCGCAGCAGCCGTCTCGGTGAGAGGGGTCGCCATGGCGACCGCAGCCGAAACGTCAGTGAACGTGCACTGGGAGGAGGCACAGCCGTGAAAGATAGAGACTGCCGACTCACCGCTAGACTGAGCGATAGTGTGCTGACGAGTCTCGATATCTCGGTGAGGGTGTCGACAAAAGCGGTGAGGGTGAGGTCATCCGGGTGCTGGCTAAGGAAGTGATCGCGAGCACTAGCGAGGCGGTCCGGCAGGCGCATGGCGATAAAATAGAGCGTCATGCAGAAAAGGGGGGGGAGCGCAGTGAGCTGGGCAGCAGTGCTGGCAGTGCGATAGCGGGTCTCCAGGGCACGCAGGTGAGTGGCAAAGTCTGCGACGGTAGGGAAGGCTGCAAGGTCTGGGAAAGCATAGGGAAGAGCAAGCGGCAACAGAAGCAGACGCGGGTGTGGAATTCGAGCAATAACGGCGTCTAAGTAGGCGCGGAGGGCCAGGCAAGGCGCGGCGAGGCCAGGCAGGCGCGGCGGGCCAGGGAGGCGCGGCGGGGCCAGGGAGGCGCGGGGGGCCAGGCAGGCGCGGCGGGGCCTGGCACGCCGCGGAGGGCCAGGCAGGTGCGGTGGGGCCAAACAGGCGCGGCGGGGGCCAGGCAGGCGCGGCGGGGCCCAGGCAGGCGCGGCGGGCCAGGCAGGCGCGGCGGGGCTAGGCAGGCACAGCGGGGTCAGGCAGGCGCGGCGGGCCAGGGAGGCGCAGCGGGGCCAGGGAGGCGCGGCGGGGCCAGGCACGTGCGGAGGGGCCAGGCAGGTGCGGTGGGGCCAGCCAGGCACGGTGGGGCCAGGCAGGCGCGGCGGGGCCCGGCAGACGCGGCGGGGCCAGGCAGGCGCGGCGGGGCCAGGCAGGCGCGGCGGGGCCAGGCAGGCGCGGCGGGGCCAGGCAGGCGCGGCGGGGCCAGGCAGGCGCGGCAGGGCAGGCAGGCTCGGAGGGGCCAGGCAGGCGCGCGGGGCCAGGCAGGCGCGGCGGGCCAGGCAGGCGTGGTGGGGCTTGGGAGGCGTGGCGGGGCCAGGCAGGCGCGGGGGGGCCAGGCAGGCACGGCGGGGCCAGGCAGGCGCGGCGGGGCCAGGCAGGCGCGGCAGGGGCCAGGCAGGCACGGAGGGGCCAGGCAGGCGCGACGGGGCCAGGCAGGGCGCGACGGGGCCAGGCAGGGCGCGACGAGGCCAGGCGGGCGCGACGGGGCCAGGCAGGGCGCGACGGGGCCTAGGGGCGCGACGGGGCCTAGCGGGCGCGACGGGGCCAGGCAGGGCGCGACGGGGCCCAGGAGGGGCGCGACAGGGCTAGGAGGCGCGATGGGGCCCAGGAGGGGCGCTAGGAGGCGCGACGGGGCCCAGGAGGGGCGCGACGGGGGGGCCAGGAGAGGCGCGACGGGGCCCAGGAGGGGCGCGACGGGGCTAGGAGGCGCGACGGGGCCCCCCGGAGGGGGGTGGCGGGGGCCTAGCTAGGGTACGGGCGAAGCGGTAGGTGGGGGATTCTAACCTACGCATGATACCATGTAAAGTAAGAAATGAATCAATTGACTAGAAGTGGCAACCTAGAACAAATACTAGTTGGTTGTACTCACTAGAAGCATACCTCAGTCTAGCCTATAACTTCTACATAGCTAATATGTATAAGTTGACAAGATGTGCTGTATTACTAGATCCTATTGTGGAGGGGACAACCCCCCTTCTTGTATCTCTTCCTCTTCCTAGGCGAACCCCCCTTTTCTCTCGTCAATTTCTCCCTCTAGCTAAAACCTCTCGATATTTCTGTCAATATATATATATATATATGTCATGTAGGCTAGATAGGTGAGTACTCTTAGAGAGTACAACCCCTTAGCACAAAAGCACATTGTATCTCTCATTCTAGTCATTCATTCTCACGTTGATATGGTATCACGCTAGGTTAGGGTCCCACCCGCCCACTCACGCTTCCGCCTTAGGCCTAGTCCTAGCCGCCCCTTAGCGCCCCGCTGGCCCCGTACGCCCTGCTGACCCTTAGCACCCCGCTGGCTCCTTCGCGCCCCGCTGGCCCCCGTAACGCCCCGCTGGCTCCTTAGCGCCCACTGGCTCCTTAGCACCCTGCTGGCCCCGTTAGCGCCCCACTGGCCCCATGCGCCCTGCTGGCCCCGTACGTCCTGCTGGCCCCTCAGCGCCCCGCTAGCCCTGTTCGCGCCCCGCTAGCCCTGTTCGCGCCCCGCTAGCCCCGTCGAGTCCTGTTAGCCCTGTGCGCCCCGCTGGCCCCATACGCCCCGCTGGCCCTGTTCGCCCCGCTGACCCCTTTCGTGTCACAGGCCCTGTGCACCCCGCTGGCCCAGTTCGCACCCAGCTAGCCCAGTCGTGCCCCACTAGCCCCGTGCGCCTCGCTGGCCCCGTACGCCCCGCTGGCCCCGTTTGCGCCCCCGCTAGCCCCGTGCGCGTCACAGGCCCCGTGCGCCCCGCTGGCCCCGTTCGCGCCCCGCTAGCCCCGTCGTGCCCTAGCCCCGTGCGACCCGCTGGCCCCGTACGCCCCGCTGGCCCATTTGCGCCCCGCTAGCCCCGTGCGCCCCGCTAGCCCTGTGCGCCCCGCTGGCCCTGTGTTTGCCAGTCCCGCGCTCGCTGGCCCTACGCTCTCCCGCCCCCGACCTACCGGCCTTGGCTCCCTTCTGAGCCGGCACGTCTGCCGGCTGTCTCCACCGCTCTCCACTGCTCTCCACCGCTCTCCACTGCTCTCCACCACACTCCACTATACTGCACCATACTCCACCACTCTCCGCCGCTCTCCACCACACTCCATCACACTCTACCGCACTCCACCGCACCCTGACCACACCTACTGCTCTCCACCGCTATCCTTCGCCTTCCTTCGCCTTTCCTCATCTCCTTGTCAGCGGCAGTCAGCTGATGCAGCCATGGTGATGGCGGACTCACTGCTCCGCCTGGACGCGGAGCGTCGGGCGATAGACTTCGAGGCGTGGCTCGTCGACCTCCACTATCACCTGATAGGTCAGCGCCAGGGTGGTCACTCCCTGGCTGTACATGTTGATGGCCTGCTTCCCTGCCCCGCTGTGCCTGTTGCCCTCCTAGCTGCCCCACCACTGCTGAGCATGAGGCCTTTTCCGCTGGTGTGCTTGCTCATGTTGTCTGGGACTCTCGTGACGCCGTAGTGCAGCTTGCCATTAGTCACGCCCTTCCCCTATCCGAGCGTCCCCGCTTTAACCGCTGTAGCGAACGCCAAGGAATTCTTAGATGCCGTAGTTTCACGCTATTCTATGCCCGCCTCCGCCTTAGCTGGCTGCTGATCCTCCCCATGCTGTTCCCTGATCTTGCATCCTTCCCAACTGTTGCCGATCTTGCCACTCACCTCCGCGGACTAGAGACTAGCTACCGCGCTGATAGCACTGAGGCTCAGCTCATTGCCTATCCACCGCCGCTCTGCGCTACCCCTTATCTCGGCGACCCAGGTCGCTGTGGCTTGCTTTTGTCGGTCGCTCACTCACTAGTCGCTGCGTGGCACCACTCTCCAAGGTCACCCATACTGCTGCATCTGCGTCACATGTCCCATCACGTTCTTTGTCTTCGGAGACGCAGGGGGGGGGGGGGGGGGGGGAGGTGGTGTGTAGCAAGGCGCCCGCGCTGGCGCACTGGCTGGCATGCTTGCAATCATGGCTGGCACCTAAACCGGTGCGCGGCCCGCTGACGCCCGCGTGCGCTGACAGTCGACGACCCAATGGCGGCACGACGAAGCCGCCACGGCATGGCGTCGATGCACGGCAGCACGTCGAGGGTGTCACGGCAGCACACGACAACGCCGCCACGGCGTGGCGTCGACGCCACGACAGCGCGTCCAGGCTGCACGACAGTACGACGAAGCCGCCATGGCAGCACGATATGGCTGCCACGCGGCGCGAAGTGACCGGAGGGGGAGAGTACGCTGCGGAAGCGTGATGAGACGGACCTCCTGCTCTGAACCATGTCAAAATGAGTTAGGAGCCTAAATAGGGCATGAGACATGTCGAGGTTTTAGCTAGGGAGGAAAGTTGATGAGAGAAAAGGGATTGGACTAGGAAGAGAGAGATACAAGAGGAAGGGTTATACCCTCTGCAGTAGGACCACAATCTGTAGAAATTCTAACCAAGCCTACATAAATCTAAACATAAAAGATATAATTTTAAACACCATGTCCTGATTGAGTAAGAAACCAAGCATTCTTGTTTCCTCAGAATCCTATTCACCATCACGATCACTACAAGTATCTACACGTATCAAGAAAGAACAGTAATGTGTGTTTTATGTTGGGTTCAATAATTTACACTAAGTCGGAAGGGAGTTCCAAATTCCTGCCTAATGCTCACTAGCGGATTTCATCCGCACCTCTTCCTCCCACACGGCCCAGCCAAATTCGCTCTCACATTGCTACATTGCCATTTGTTGTCTTATTGCCCCACTCGAGTGTACGCTCAGAGGCCAGTAGGCCCGCTACCCGTCCTCGCTCCTCCCTCCCCATTGTAGCGTTGCTATCTTGATCGTATCGGTTTCCTCCTTGCGACCTAGTTCCGCGTGGTTGCTCCTGCACGGACCCTATTCGGCGTCGCCTGTCTTCGCCTGTTGTCGCACGCGGCGTCGTTCGCTCGCTCATTTGTTCGTTCGTTCGCGAGGCGCGTCGCAACGTATCGCCCTTCCTGCGACTGCAACAGGAAAAGCAATAGCAGCAGCGACAGCGACAGCGGCAGCGCCATCAAAGTCACCAACTTTCGTATTCCCGGAGGCAGCTAAAATAGATCAACCCCATCCGCGGAACCCTGTTCTTTCTGGGGTGAGACAGGGGTGAGAGAGACAAACTTCCCGGGGTGCAGCAGAAATACGAGCTCTCTTGTTCTCCACACCTGACAGCACCGCTCCACATCTCGCAGGACCTTCAACAGATCATACGGCCGCCAGCGTCGCTTCTTGGCTCCGAGTGCGCGCCAGACGTTCTGCTTTCTTCGTGGGATAGCGCGTGCGGAAGGCAGGTTGGGGGAGAGGGGCGGAAGGGGTTTTTTCTCCCCAGTAGTGCCGGACGGTTAGGCTAGCGCACACGCGTGAAGGGTGCGATGGAGGAGGAGAGTGGGGGAGGACGAGCGGTAGAGGCCACTGCTGCTAGCAGCGCTGGGGACGATAGGGACGGTAGGGACGGTAGGGACGGTAGGGGCGATAGGGACGCCAGGAACGACAGGGACGCCGAGAGGAGCCAAAACTCAAAGTTGAAAGAGGAAAAGGGGAAGGGTAAAGGAGAAGAGGAGAAGAAAGAGCAAGGGGATAAGGTGAAAGGAGAAGAGGAGAAAAGAAAGAGGAAGGGGAAAAGATTAAAGGAGAGAGGAGAAAAAGAAAGAGGAAGGGGAAAGGTGAAAGGGAGAAGAGGAGAAAAAGAAAGAGGAAGGGGAAAAGGGGAAAGGAGAAGAGGTGGTAGAAGCTGTTGGGGCAGAGAGAGAAGGAGAGCAGGGCAATGAGGCAGAGAGGGCAATTTGGGCAAAAGAGGTGCACAAGAGCTTGACAGCAAGGGGAGGAGCAGGAGGAGGGAAAAGGGGGCAGAAGGAGGAGGACTTGAAGCAAGGAAGCCCAACAGACGGTGAAGAGGATGAAGCACGAGAGGGCAGGGAGAGCAGCGGGGCCAAGGACTGGGCAACGCAGACCCTAGAAAGCAACGCTGCATCCTCTGCTCTCTCTCCTCCTCTTCCTCCTACTTCTCCTCTTTCCTCTCCTCCTCTTCCTTCCCCCTCGTCTCTTCTCCCTTCCCTCCTCTCCTGTCGTCTGCATTGAGGAGCTTCAGAAGGCGGTAGCCGCGGCATCCCTCTCCGCCCGCTCGCCCTCTCTGTTGCCCCCAGGTGTGCCGAGCTCTGTGGGAAAACACCTGAGGGGTTCTGCGGCCGCCAGTGAAGTCCGCCGGGAGGCTCCAGGGCAGCAAAAATGCTTTTGAGATTGGGCAGGGGCCGGATGAGGTGGTCGATTGGTGGAGGCGGAGGTGAAGCTGGGCAGGAGGAAACGAAAGGGGGACGTCAGAGGAGGGGCGGAGGGTGGGAAGGGTGGGGAGGGTGGGGAGGAGGGGAAGGGTGATGGAGATAAGAGGGAGGGGGGTGGTCATGTAGAGAAAGTGGAAGGTGTCACGGAGGGGAAGGAGAAGGGGAAGGAGAAGGGGAAGGGGAAGGGGAAGGGGGAAGGAGAAGGAGGAGAGGAGCAAACAGGAGAGAAGTATAAAAAGTACGCCCAAGGAGGATATGGATAAGGGGGATGGAAGGCAGAGGGATGGACGCGAGAAGGAGAAGGAGGCAGGGGCGGCCAAAGCAGGCAGCAGGAATGGGCAAGAGCGGGAGGACGGAAACAACGACGATTTTGAATCCAATGCTGGCGATAAGCAACTCGCCCAAGGGGGCCAGACGGGCCATGACAAAGAAGAGGCCGCTGGATGTGCTCATGGGGGGTGGGGAGCGCAGGGGGGAGCGCAGGGGGGAGAGCGCGGGGAACGAGCACAGGGGGGGCGGTGGTCTGAGCCGACTGAGAGAGCAGAAGGGGGGGGCACGGGGGAGAGGAGCCGCAGGAGGGGGTGGTGGGTGAGGGGAAGCTGGTTGGGGAGGAGGGGGAGGAGGGGGAGGTGGGGAGGGAAGTGGGGAGGTGGGGGCGGAGTTAGGGCAGCAGCGGGTGGTGAGAGAGGGGGTAAGGGGCGTGGAAGGGGTGGTGGGGGGAGAGGAATAGGGGGTAGAGGGGGAAGTGCGATTAGCATGGTGCTGCTGGGCGCAGGGGATGGGGGAGGCAGGGGTGGGGGGAAGGCGGATGGGGGGAAGGCGGATGGGGAGAAGGCGGATGGGGGGAAGGCGGATGGGGGAAAGGCATATGGGGGAAGACAGATGGGGGGAAGGCAGATGGGGGGAAGGCGAATGGGGCAGGTAAAGAAAAGAAAGGGGATGAGGACGAGGGTGCGGTTGACTTGCTGAGTGAATCCAATGGTAATGATGGAGGTAGTGGTGGTGGCGCTGCTGCTGCTGCTGCTGGCGTGGGTAGTGATAGGGATGTGGAAGAGGTGAGGGGTGGGAAGTTGGAAGAGAAAGGCGTGCAGAGGAAAGGGGAAACGGGAGTGCAACGCAAGTGACTGGTGGGAAGAGGGGGAGGAAGGGGAGGAGAAGAAAGAAGAGAAGGAAGAAAAAGAAGGCAAGGAAGGGAAGGAAGAGGAGGACGAGGTGGAAGAGGTGAAAGAGGAGGAAGAACAGGCAGACGAAGATGACGATGAGGAGGAGGAGGATGAGGAGTGGCATGAGGAGGAGGCAAGAGAGAAGGGCAGAAGGCAGAAGCGGCACGGAAAAGGGCAAGCCAGCAGAGGCGGAGGTGAAAGGTGCAAAGGCCCCGGAGCCTGGAGGCCGTGGCACAAGGGGGGGCGAAGAAAGAGGCAGCAGGACCAGTGAAAAGAGGTGCAGGCAGTGGTGTGGGGTAGTTGCCAAGGGGAGATGCCAAGGGAGATGCCAAGGGAGATGCCAAGGGAGCAGGAGCGGAGGGTGTTGGTCAGTCGTAGGCAGCCCTAGGAGAAGTGGTGCCAGTGGTGGGGGCAGAAGAAGCAAGGCTGTCACCTCCCCTCCTCCTCCCTCATCCCCTCCCCCATCTCCTCCTGTTGCGTCTCCCACAATTGCCAAGAGGAGGAGGAGCAGTGGGAAAGGAGATGCATACAGTGGAGATGAGGAAGCCCTAGGGGAGGAGGAGCAGGAGGGGCAGGAGCAGGAAGCAGGAGGAGCAGGGAGGGGCAGGAGCAGGAGCAGGGAGGAGCAGGAGGGGCAGGAGCAGGAGCAGGAGGAGCAGGAGGGGCAGGAGCAGGAGCAGGAGGAGCAGGAGGGGCAGAGCAGGAGCAGGAGGAACAGGAGGGGCAGGGGCAGGAGCAGGAGGAGCAGGAGGGGCAGGAGCAGGAGGAGCAGGAGGGGCAGGAGCAGGACAGGAGGAGCAGCAGGGAGCAACAGGAAACAGGGACGTGCAGTGGGCACCAGAAGAGGCAGTGCTGGTAGCAGTGGCGATGACGATGAGGCTGGCCGTGCAGGCGAGGCTGGTCGTGCAGACAACGCTGGGCGTGTGACTCGTGCTCGAGGTCCCTCAAGTCCGCTGGGCACGGCGCAGCCGTCCCCCTTCCCCTCTCCCTCCACGCCAGGCAAAGTCATTCGGGTATGGCTCAAAACCTCGGAGTAGGTTCACCTCGCTGTGCTGACACATTCAACGTACGACACCTGCAAGCCTCGCTGCACGCTTGTTCGTTGAGCCCACTCTTTCATCTGCAATTGCCGCCACTCTGTCCGTCCGTACGCTTCGTTGCTGTCCCTTTGTCCTGTTGTCTCTTAAACCCTCTTCCCCCCATGGCCCATGGCCCTTGGCCCATGGCCCTCTCTCTTCCCAGGGCATGAATCGCATGTGCCACCAGTGCCAGCGGAATGACAAGGAGGAAGGAGTGGTGTACTGCCAGCGCGTGCCCACCCACCGATTCTGCCTTCCATGCATCCGCCAATGGTGTGTCCCTCTTTGTTAACCCCCATCCTCCTTTGCTCTATTCCGCTCCACCCTCACCCGCCAACTCCCCGCCGCCTCCCCTTTCGTTTTCCTTCTTTTCCTCCCGCTCGTCTTTCCCGCTCTCCCTCTGTGCCTCCTCCCTGGCTTTTGAGGCACCCCCAGAAAGAAAGACTCATAAGTTCTTCAAAGCTGCGCTCCTAATTTAATGGTCCAATGGTGCATGGGTGTCTGTATGCATGGGTGCATTGGTGCATTGCTGCATGGGTGCATGGGCGCATGCATGCATGGGTGCATGCATGAGTGGATGGGTGCATGCATGGGCGGATGGGTGCAGGTACCCCATGTACACAGTAGACGAGATAGTGGCCTTCTGCCCCAAGTGCCGTGGCAACTGCAACTGCAAGACGTGTCTGCGCACTCGCGTCCCTGTGCCCTATGTCAGTGCTCGGCCACTCCTATGCCATGCCATGCACCATGCTCCATTCCCCATGCCCCATGCCCCATGCCCCATGCAATCGCCGATGCCCCATGCCATTTCTTGCCATGCCATGCAGTACTCACCTATGTGTTGTACATGTGCTGCTTGCTTCATCTACCCCCTCCCTGCATCCGTGTCATTGCACTCAAACCCTTTCCCTTCTCCCCTTCCCGTGCCTCTCCCTTCCTCCCATCTACACTGCTCTTCCTCCTCGGCTCCTCTTCCCGCCCCCTCCTCCCCCCCTCTTCCCCTGCCGCCCTTCCACCTATCCCAACAGCGTGCAGCAGATGCAGCAGCAGGGGAGCGAGCGGGCAATGGCACGCCGAGTGCTGCAGTATGTGACGCCTCTGCTGGCTGACCTGGTGCGGCAGCAGCAGGAGGAGACGCGCATAGAGGCAGCTGCACAGGGCAAGGAGGAGCACAGTGAGTTGGGGTCTGGGTCTGTGGGGTGGGTTGGTGTGTGTGGGGTGGAGGGGAGGGGGGAAGGGGGAGGGAAGGAGGAGGGAGGGCGCTCCAGGGTGCTTCTGTGGTTCGTTTTCCTGCTGTTCATATGTTTTTGCTTGTATGTTCACACGGGTGTGCGCTCCAGGGTGCCTGTAGGCCTCCATTCATCTACACACGTTCTTGGTGTGTTTATGGAATTGTGCATGTGTGTGTGTGTGTGTGTGTGTGTGTGCGTGTTTGCATGTGCGTGTGTGTGTATGCGAGTGTGTGTGTATGCGAGTGTGTGTGTGTGTGTGTGTGTGTGTCTGCGTATGCGAGTGTGCGTGTGTGCATATGCGAGTGTGTGTGTGTGTGTGCGTGTTTGCATGTGCGTGTGTGTGTATGCCAGTGTGTGTGTGTATGTGTGCGTGTGTGTGTGCGTGTCTGCGTATGGGAGTGTGCGTGTGTGCGTATGCGAGTGTGTGTGTGTGTGTGTGTGTGCGCGCGCGTGTGTGCGTGTGTGTGTGCGGGGGTGTGTGTGTGTGTGTGTGTGTGTGTGTGTGTGCTGCAGAAGTGGACATCAAGCGAGTGAAGATATCAGTTGACGAACGGATCTTCTGGTCAGCTCTCTTCACGTATCCCCTGCCTCCTCCCTTCAGATCGTCTCTCTTCATCTCCCCGTCCTCCCTCCCATCCGGTCCATCCAATTTAGTCCGACTCAACTTAGAGAACATGTTCAGAGTGTGTGTTTTACTATGCCTTTCTCAGTATTCTCTCCCTCTTGCTTCCTCTTGCTTCTCGTCCCCTCCCTTGCACCACCCCTGTGCATCTGACTCCCCAGCTCACACTGCCAGACCTCGATCGTTGATTATTTCCGAAGCTGCCCAGACAAGGAGTGTGGTTTTGACCTTTGCCTCTCCTGTTGCAAAGATTTGCGAGCCGGGCAGCTGCCCCCAGGAGAGGTATTTTCTGCGGAGTTTTGTGGGGAGGGGACAGAGGAAGGGGAGAGGGGAGAGGGAGAGGAGAGAGAAGCCGAGGGGGGACGTGGGGGTGACGGCAAGAGGAGAGAGGATGAGAGTGGAGGAGAAAAAGGAGAAGGTATGGGTGAGGCGAAGGGGGGTCATAAAGGCAAGAAAAGAAGGGGGTCTGGGTTGGGAATGCCAGGGAAGAGAAGAAAGACAGGCAGTGGGAGTGCGGGTGGGAGTGGGAGTGGGAGTGGGAGGGGAAAGGGAGGGTCTGTTGCCAGTATGTTGATTAAGGAGCTGAGACTGCCTTTGAAATCAGGGCAGAAAGAAGGTGCTGATGGTGGGGATGGGGCGGATGGGAAGGGAGGGGGAGAGGGGACAGGGGGTAGCATGGTGGGAGCGAGGATGAGATGGGTTGCTGATGCTACTGGGGCCATCCCATGCCCTTCGTTGCAGTGCAGGGTGGTGGACAGAGGGAGGGGGGAGGGGAGCAACCAGGGGAACAAGGAGGGGAAGGAAGAGAAGGAGGGGGGGAAGGGGGCAGGGGGGAGCAGGGAGAAGGCTAGGATGGAAGGGAGGAAGGAGAAGCAGGGAAGAGGGGACGGGGTGGGGGCTAAGGCGGATATGGATGGAGCAGTGAGTGGCGAGACGGAGGGATGTGAAGAGGAAAAGGTGAGAGAGAAGGAAATGGCGGGAGAAAAGGAAAAATGGGGAGAGAAGGAAAAGGCGGGAGAGAAAGAAAATGTGGGAGAGAAAGAAAATGCGGGAGAGGAAGAAAATGCGGGAGAGAAGGGCCGTATTGCAGACGGCGACAAGGTGGAGGGTGCAGGGAGGAATGGGGCTATGGGAGATGCGGGAAAAGTGGAGGGTGAAATGGAAAGTGAAATAAAGGGTAATGGGGAGGGTAAGGGGGGGGGTAAAGGGGAGGGTAAAGGGGAGGGTAAAGGGGAGGGTAAAGTGGAGGGGAAAATGGATGGTAAAGGGGAGGTTGATGGGGATGGGAAGGTGGATGGGGAAGCGGAAGAAGGCAAGCAGGGAGAGCCATGGAAGAGCAGACACCAGCTGCTGCTGTGCAGTGTGAGGGGGCGCGGGTGGCTGGAAGGGCTGGTGCAGCAGTGCGAGCGGCATGTAGGGGGGGATACGCATGGGGAAAGTGGGAGGCGCAGGGTTGGGGCAGGGAACGGAGGTGAGGGGAAAATAGGTGATGGGGGAGAGGGAAGGGAGGGCGAGGAGAAGAGTGGGGCTGAAGAGGCGAGGGAAGGAAGGCGAGAGGAGGGAGGTGGAGGGGATGTGGAAGGGAGAGGAGAGGGGATGGAGGTGGATGAGGTTGGGGGTGATAGGAAGGATGAGAAGGAAAAAGGAAGAGGACAAGGAAATTATGATTTGGAGAAGGGAGAGATGGAAGGGGGCGAAGTGAAGGGAGGAGTGGAAGAGAAAAAAGAAGAAGGGGAGAAAGGAGGGCAGGAAGGTTGCAGGGAGGGAGGGATACTGGAGGTGAAGCCATATACAGAGTCATGCAAGCAAGCAGCAAGCAGTGCAGGGAAGGGGTGTGGGGTGTGCGAGGATAGTGCCACTCGTATGCACAGACTCTCGCAGGCTCTTGCTGCTGTGTGGGGCGATTTGCAGCGGAAGAGGAGGGAGAGCGAGGATGGGAACGGTATGGAGGATACAGGGAAGGGCAAGGGGAAGGAGGAGGAGCGGGAGGAGCGGGAGGAGCGGGAGGAGCAGGAGGAGCGGGAGGAGCAGAGGAAGGGAGAAGGGGAGGTTGAGATGGTGGAGGAAGGGGCTAAGGAAGAGAAGGGTTGCAGTGACAGCAAGCTATCTACTGCTCCTCATGCTGCTGCCCCTTTGGCTGCTGGTGCTCTTGCTGCTGCTGCTGCTGCTGCTGCTGCTGCTGATGATGATCCTGACACTGCTCCGTCTGCTGCTGCTGCCTCTGATCCCGCTGTTGTCGCCCCTGCTGCTGCTCCTACTGCTCCTGCTTCTGAATCGCCTCCTGAGAGCTCCTCCGACATTCTCTCCCACTGGCAGGGCCTGTCCTTCCCCCAAGCGCTCTCACTCTTTAAGCGCTACAAGGCTGCCCTTAACCGCCACTGCCACGCCAACAGCCTGCTTTGGGCCTCCTGCCGCCCGGGCAGCTCCGACAATTTCCTTTTCTGCCCGACCCTGCCCTGGCCGAGGAGGGAAGCAGAGGAGGGAGGGGAAGCAAGAGATGGGAAAGAGGAGCAAGACCAGGAGAGAAAAGGGAAGGCGGATGAGGGAAAGGAGACGGCAGAGGAGAGAAAGGAGAAGGCAGGGGAGGGACGGGCGGAAACTGCGGAGGGAGGGGAGGAGCGAGACGATTCGAGCATGGTGGCGCACTTCCAGAGGCACTGGGAGAGGGGGGAGCCAGTGGTGGTGCGGCGGGTGCTGGACCTGCAGCACGGGCTGAGCTGGGAGCCGCTGGTGATGTGGCGTGCGTTCCGGGAGACGACCCAGGGCGCGCAGATGAGCGAGAAGACCACGGTTGTTGCCATTGACTGCCTCGACTGGCTCGAGGTGAGGCCAGGGGGGAGGGGGGGGCGGGGGGGGGAGGGGAGGGGGGTGAGCGGGTGGGAGGGCAAGGGAGGTGGGGAAGACAAGCCAAGGATACGTGGACGAGGTTCAGGATTCAACGGTTAAGTGAAATTACAGGGAAAAACGCTTGGCGACACACTATGCCATTCTTGCTCCTCGTTTCCCCCCCTTCCCCCAACCCTCCTCCCTCTTTTCCCCTTCCCCCAACCCTCCTCCCTCCTTTCCCCTTCCCCCACAAAGCTTCCCTGTCCCCCCCAGGTGGAGATAGACACACAGCAGTTCTTCGAGGGCTACTAACCCGGATGGATGCACTATGTTCCACTCGACAGTCTTCCGTCACCCCTCATACCCAACCCCATCTCCTCCCAACCACACCCTCACCCCATCTCCTCTCAACCACACCCCACCACACCCTCACCCCATCCCCCCCCTCCTTCCCCCCAGGTGGAGATCAACACGCGGCAGTTCTTTGAAGGCTACTGGTCAGGGCGCATGCACGCGTCGTCCTGGCCCGAGCTCCTGAAGCTCAAGGACTGGCCGCCCTCCTCGCACTTCCACCTGCGCCTGCCCCGCCACGGCTCCGAGTTCGTCAACGCCCTGCCCTTCCACGCCTACCTGCACCCCGAGGAGGGGGACGTGAACGTGGCCGCGGTGCGGGCCGCGCCCGAGGGGAGTTTGCGGCCGGATCTGGGGCCCAAGACGTATATTGCGTATGGGGTGCGGGGCGAGCTGGGGGCGGGGGACTCGGTGACGAAGCTGCATTGCGACATGTCGGACGCGGTGGGTGCTGTGGGGTGGTTGGGGTGGGGGGGGGGACGTTGAGAGAGGATGGGTTGGGGGGGTTTCTGGGGACACTATGCTATCCCGGGACACTACGTTATTTGAAGACACAATGCTTTCCTGGGGCACCATGCTTACCCGGGACCCTATGCTTCCCGGGCTAACTACCACCGCCCCCCGTACCTTCCGCCTCACTACCCCATGACTGACTACTCCCCATCTCGGACCAACCTCCCTAGAACGTAAGCAACCCCCCGTAGGGTGCAAACCCCCCCCCCCCCCCCCTAGGATGCAACCACCCTCCCCTCTAGGATGCACCAACCCCCCTCTAGAATGCGACAAACATCCCTGAGGATGCAACCCATCCCCCTTAACGCTGTGCCTCCCTCTGTTCCCCCTCTGTGTTTCCCCCTGTGCCCCCCCTAGGTGGACGTAACGATCCACTGCCAGGAGCTGCCCCTGAAGCCAGAAGCTAAGGGTCTGTGCCTCCACCTACCCACCCCTGTACCCCCCTGCCCCAGGTGAACGTGATGACGCACTGCCAGGAGATGCCCCTAAAGGCCGAATCTGTGCCTCCACAAACTCATCCCTGTACCCCCCTGCCCCAGGTGAACGTGATGACGCACTGCCAGGAGATGCCCCTAAAGGCCGAATCTGTGCCTCCACAAACTCATCCCTGTACCCCCCTGCCCCAGGTGAACGTGATGACGCACTGCCAGGAGGTGCCCCTGAAGCCATTCCAGGAGAAGCTGGTGCGGCGACTGCGACAAGAGGTGGAGCGGGAGAGGCGAGCGGCAGAGGAGAAGGTGAAGGGAGGTGACAAAGGCCAGGGGGGTAGTGAGGGGAGAGACGAGGAGAGGAAGGGGAGGGAGAGGGGCGAGGTGGAGGAGAGGGCAGGGGAGTTGGCTCTGGGTGACGCCTTGTGCCTTCTGGACGCCTTCTTGCCCCAGGTCACAGGTGCTCTGGTTGCGCTGCCATCGGAAGCTAAGGTGGTGGCAGGAAGTGAAGATGCTGGTGCTGGTGCTGCTATGGATGTTGAAGGGAAGGGGTCGCATAAGGAGAGCGAAGAGAAAGGGGAAAGGGAAGAGGAAGGGAAAGAGGAGGACATGGATGTGGGGGCGGAGGAGGAGGTTGAGGAGGAGAGGGAAGGAGCTTGGTTCAATGAGCGGGGAGGGGCCCTGTGGGACATATTCCGGAGGGAGGATGTAGGCAAGCTGAGGCAGTACATTCGAGAGCACTGCCACGAGTTCACTCACCTGCAGAACAAGCCCCTCTCCTCCGTATGTGCCCCTCACCTTCGTACGTGCCTCTACACCTCCTACACTGCACCTCGTCTTATCCACTCCTTTTTCTTCACACCTGTTCCATACTTGCCCCTAGCCCCCGTGCAGGATGCGTGAGCCTTGCTGCGTCACTCTTAATCAATCACACCTCGCAGCACCCCACAGCACTCTGCAACATCCAGCTGTGCCCCACAACACAACCCCTCGCACCACTCCACGTCCGTCTGCTCTGCCTGCCCATCCATTCTCCTGTGATTTTCCTCATGCATGATGCATGATGCATGATGCATCATGCATCATGCACCTTCAAGCACCACTCTCTCTATGCATGCACGTGGGGCTCCGGGAGAGGGGAAAGGGAGAGGGTGGGGGACTAGTTTTGAGGCGCCTCAAAACGGGAGAGGGGAAGGGGAGAGGGTGGGGGACTAGTTTTGAGGCGCCTCAAAACGGGAGAGGGGAAGGGGAGAGGGTGGGGGACTAGTTTTGAGGCGCCTCAAAACGGGAGAGGGGAAGGGGAGAGGGTGGCGGAGGGGAAAGACTTGGGGGAGGGTTGCAGTGGGGTTTGCTCTACGTCTCTCTCACAATGGTCTGCGCTTCTCTGCCATCCCCTTAAACTCGCTCTATCTCTCTCGCTCTCTGCAGCTAGACCATGAGGTGCATGACCAGACGGTTTATCTCTCCAACCGCCACAAGAGGCAGCTCCAACAACAATATGGTGCGCGCTATCCCACTGCCACTCTCCGTTCGCAAATATCTTATCAATATAAAAACCGCGTGTAATGAGTCTTCTTTTGAGTCGACTCAGGCAGGCAGCGGCAGCAGCAATATGGTGCAGAGCGGACTACCCCAGTACCGCCCTCCATCCATCCACCCTTTCATCCTCCCCTTCCACTCTATCCCCCAATGCCATCGAGTCTTTCTCGCGCTCTCTTGTTTGGTACTCTCCAAGTGGTACCTCCTCTCTCAGCTCTCATGCTTTGCTGGCGTGGTGCTTGATTTGGTTGCGCTTCCCCCTCCCTCCCTCCCTTCCTCCCTCCCTCCCTCCCTCCCTCCCTCCCTCCCTCCCTCCCTCCCTCCCTCCCTCCCTCCCTCCCTCCCTCCCTCCCTCCCTCCCTCCCTCCCTCCCTCCCTCCCTCCCTCCCTCCTCCCTCCCTCCCTCCCTCCCTCCCTCCCTCCCTCCCTCCCTCCCTCTACAACCTTCTCTGTACCATACCATCTCTTGACGTCCTTTCCTTCCGCCCATCATCATCCACCCACCCTTATTCGCCAGGAGTGCACGCTTGGACGTTTCAGCAGCAGAGGGGAGACGCAGTGCTCGTGCCTGCTGGCTGTCCCCATCAAGTCAGAAACCTCCAGGTAACTCCGCGCCCCGCTCTTTTCCCTTGCTCCTTTCTCCCCTGCCTGTGTGAATGTGCCTTGCGTGGTTAAGTAGTTTTGTTTTGAGACGTCTCAAAACTTGGCGCCCCGCTCTTTTCCCTTGTGCCTTCCTCCCCTGTCTGTGTGAAGGTGCCTTGTGCCTTTGTCAAGTCATCTGAGAGTGCCTCAGCGGCACATGCTCACCCTATTCCCCCCTCCACCCTCCCCTCCCTTTTCCTTGCTCAAGTGCATCCCTCCTCACCACGCCCCCTGTCATGCATGAAGGTGGGTGGGAGTTGAGATGGTGGCCATTTTGTCACCTGAGAGCATGCCGCCTCCACATCTTCACTCCTCTCCTCTCAAAGTCCCTTTTCCCCTCTTCTATTTCTGCCTGCTCTCCTCTATCTCCCCCCCCCCCCCCCCCCCCCCCCCCCCCCCCCCCCAGTAGCGCATGAAGGTGGTGGTGGACTTAGCATCCTCTGCCCCATTCTCCCCTCAAACCCCCCAGCCTCCCTCTTCAACCCTCCCCACCCCCCCCCCCCAGTCATGCATGAAGGTGGCGGCGGACTTTGTGTCGCCTAGAGCGTGGCGCAAGTCCACATACCTGCCTTTATCCTCTCGTCTCTCCCTGTTCTCCTCCCACCATTCTCCTCCCCCTGTTCTCCTCCCCCCTCTCCTGCCCCCCCAGTCGTGCATGAAGGTGGCGGTGGACTTTGTGTCACCGGAGAGCGTGGAGCAGTGTGTTGCGCTCACAGAGGAGTTCCGCCTGCTGCCCTCCGACCACCGCGCCAAGGAGGACAAGCTGGGGGTGAGGGGGTGGGGGGGAGAGGAGGGGGGAAGTGGGGGGTTGGGGAGGTGGCGGGAGGTGAGGGGTGAGGGATGGGGGATGGGGGTAGTGTCACCCCTGCTGCTTTCCATACCTTTCAATACATTTCCATTCCTTTCCACTCCTTTCCACTCCTTTCCAAACCTTTCCACTCCTCCCCCCACCCCCCTTGCTTCCTCCACCACCAGGTGCGCAACATGGTGATCAACGCGGCGCAGAGGGCTCTCACCTCCCTGCAGGCAGACTCCTCCCAGCTTACTGCAGCCGCGCACAGCACGAGGAAGAGGAAGAAGCCGTGAAGCGTACACTCACCCAGGCAGTTCAGCTACATGTGTGGTGTTGCTTTTGAGTCGACTCAAACGCAGACGTGTTTCTGTGTGGCGCTGCTGTAAGGTGTTGCCAGAAAGCGAGCAGGTGCCTTGGGAGGAGCACTCGGAGTGTCCATACCGCACTTGGGAATAGTAGACTGCAGGTTGCGATGCGGCAGCCATTTTTATTTGCTACGAAACTGGCTTCCCCTGGTAGTATGGTAGCAGGTTGCAGCATTCAAACAATGGTGTACCTGGTTTGTTTCTGAGTTAGGTTTTCTTACTCATGTGGACTTGATTGTGTTGCTGGTTTGATTAAGCACAACAAATTGTTATGCTGAGGTGAAGTCACCCGGGGGCAAGTGAGCTGGTGGGAACTGAGCCAGGGGGTATTAGTGAGCCAGGGGGGAGTGAGCCGGGGGGGAGTGAGCCATGGGTAAGTGAGCCGGGGGGAACTGAGCAAGGGGGTAGTGAGCCGGGAGGAAGTGAACCCGAGGGGAAGTGTGTCGGAAATATTATATTTTTTTAACACACGCAGTGTTTTTCAAAAATTGTGTATTGTGAAAGCGAAGCTGATTGTACTGAAGCATTGGGCATCGTCGAAGCGCGCTACTCGCCCTTCTCCAACTACGTGTACGTGGGTTGGTTGGAGCTCATTTACCTCCACCCACGTCTCTCATTTTTCAAACGGCTCAGTCAACTTTCCCGCTCTAGCTTTTCTCCCGTTCAAACTGGCTAAGACTAGAACTTTGCCTCGCGGCGAGTCTCCCTCAACACTTCTTTCCGATATTTTTAAGTTTCACCGATCCGTTATGGCTCCGACTACGAATAATCGCGGCGAGTCCAACGTCGTCACCGGCCACCCCAATTCCGAGTCTACTCGCCAAGCCCCGGAAATTGCGGGCGACCGGCGCAACAAGCGTCGGGCAGAAGAAGGGGCGGCTGCCCCAACTGGGGTTGACGTTCTGCTGGGAAGGGGCGAGGTCAACAATCAGCCTGCTGACGCGCCCCCGCCCCCTTCCGAGCCACACGCGCAAGTGGCTGAGCAGAGCCAGCCACTCGCGCCTGATGTCCAGCAGCAGCACGCGCCAGCCCCGCAAGTGGCGGGTCCTTCTCACCAGCGCAAAAGGGGGCGCGCGGCCGCCTCGTCTGACGTGCTGCCCACCCCGACATTGACCCCGTCGTTGTCCCTGCGCAGGTCAATGCGCTGTTGACGCTGTTACAGCAGCAGGCGACGAGTGTTATGGCCGCTGAAACTGCTCAACCTGCTGCTTCTGAATCTGCTAAAAAAGAACCTGCAAAAACAGAAAAGGCCACACGTGGAACCAAGACACGCCTCACCAAAGACGCCGTCGCCAGCATCCCGCCTGCCCCGGCGGCCGATAACGACAGTGACGACTCCGACAACGACGCTGGTGAGGCCCCCGACATTGCTGCAAATTCAATTCCCATGGAGCACCTCTCACCACTCCCGACCACTAACACCGCCCTCTCGGCGGCGTCCTTCCTCAACGCGGCCGTGCGCGAGCAAGCGGAAGTCCTGGAGGACCTTCGGGCATACCTGAAGCATGCTGAGTTCAAGATGCAGCACGGCAACGCGCCGGGCGGCCTCGAATTCCTCGCTGACACGCTCGCCCTCATATTGCGACGCTTCGAAGTTCTCCAAGTCGAAGACGCCTCCGACTTCCGCACGGCCAAGCGTTTCAAGCTGTACCAGCAGAAGAGTCTGCTTACCTCAAGGCCTTTCAAACAGGCCATCGCTGACGTGGCTGCAATGGACCGCACCGAGGGCGGGTTTGCTCGTGGCAATCGCGAAGGCGGCCGCATGCCCATGCCGTTCGTGCCAAAGCGTGGTCCGCCGCCTACGGGAGAATTCCGCGGCTTCCGGGGCAGTTGCTTCCGCTGTGGCCAGCCGGGGCATGTGGCCAGCGGCTGCCCGACGATTGGGCATGGTGGCCAAGGACCCGCACCAGTGGTGTAGGGGTCGGGCCATGGGCGCTTGCGCAAGTGGCGCAAGGCATCCGGTGTGTGCGTAGGCCATTGGGCCCGCCCCTTAGGGGTACGGGTGGCAGAGGGCCAGCCCTAGTGTAGGCCAATTGAAGGCCCTAGGCTCAGAGCAAGGGAAGGGGAACATACCCCCTCAGTCACAAATGATAGCCCGACCTTGCAAGGCGGACTTTGCATGCCTAGGAGCATGGTTGAGTAGAGATGAAGCTTAGTTCAAAATAAGGAGCCGCGGTCCTCCGTTTTTTGTCAGATCTTGGCCCATAAATATAACCAGAGAAATGGGGAAGCAGCACCAAAAGAGGCGCAGCAAAAAAAAAAAAAAAAAAAAAAAAGGATCGAGCACGAAACGGAGAAGCGTAGTGGGTGGCTCAACCCTCACTACATGTCACGCAGCATCCCCGGCCAGAGAAGGAAGGCCATCAGGAACACCAATGGCCCGCCACTTACCCTCACATAGTTGCTCATCGATTGGACATGCGAAAAAAAAAAAAAAAAAAAAAAAACAGAATTCAAGCATTATGCGAGCCTCACGAGGCGCCTACCCTCCAACCCGGTGTGCTACACCCTGGACCCCAAGCATTACCCCTCCATGGGCATACAGGAACAGCCACACCAACCTCATCCAGGGCTGCCCGGCTTGGCATTGGAAAAAAAAAAAAAAAAAAAACAAGTCACGGGAGCATGCGCTCACGCACACGGTATGGCCCACGAACAGGAAGAGCAACAAAAACACCGCACGCATGCCACACAAGCACACCAGAGGTGGTTAGAGGAAAGACAGGAAAAAAGCCCGGGCGTTGAGTCTCAAAACCCAAGAAATGAGAACGCAAGCGAAAGAGGCAATAGAGGGTAACATGCGCTAGCGAGTAGAAGCGCGAGTGAAGGCACAAGTTGTGGGAATATGAGGGCAAAAAGGGAAGGACAATAAGCGGAAACTCATGCACAAACGTCGGGGTGCAGGTTCGAACGCAAGCTCAGCATGCGCGGACGCGCAAACCGACACACACGCAGATCACGCCGCTCAGACTCGCTCAAAGCGCAGGCAACCACCGACCTTAGCATCTTGCTCGCACGTGGCACCTCTGTCCTGCACGCCCTCCTTAGCCACTAGGCTTCAGTCTCCCCCCCCCCCCACGCTCTAGGTTTCCGGCAGGCCTCAGCCCTGCAGATGAACTTAAGGATGCTTCCCTTGCTTCTCCTTGCATGACGTCACTCCCACAGGCACCCGACTTCGCGAATGCGCACACAACAGTGACCCCTACGATTACGCGGTTACTGACAAGATGGTCACCCAAATGTGTGGCCGCCTACGTACCACGTTCGCTTGGTGGAGCTCTTGGTGCACTAGCAGTTTCATACTCTCAGTCATTGCCAAAGGATACTGGATGCCATGGAAACTCGGGCCGCCGCCGGCCTTTCACGATCGCAACCATGCCGGCGCACGCATCCACGAAGCATTCACACGTACAGCCATCCTTGAACTCACTGAGACCGGCGCGGCCATCCAAATTCCTGCGGCGAAACTGAGATGCATAAGCCCACTCAACGTGGTCGAGCAGAAAGACAAGTGTCGCCTGATTCTGGATCTCCGTAAGGTGAACGACGCACTAATCGTCCCCAAATTTAAATATGAGGGACTCAACCGTGTAGCAGACCTCGCTCGCCAAGGAGATTAGATGTTTTCCATCGACTTGAAATCAGGCTATCACTATGTCGACATCCATCCCTCATGCTGGACGTTCCTCGACTTTGAATTCGACGGGCACACATACGCCTTCCGATCCTTGCCGTTCGGCCTCGCCACAGCACCATTCGTCTTCACGCAGCTCATCAAGCAATTAGCTCGGCGATGGCGGGAGCAGGGGGTCCGCGTGATACCCTACGTTGACGATATCCTCTTCCTGTGCCCGACCAAGGCACACGCTTAAGCCACGTGCCAACGGGTCGTTATCGATCTCAAGGCTGTCGGGCTCGTACTCAACTCAAAAAAGTCAAAGCTGATACCAACACAACACCTTTGGTTCCTTGGCGTAGAACTCGACACACAGGCCGGCCGGTTCTCCACCGGCGAGGAGCGGCGAGCCACGCTCAATGCCACCCTCCATGCCCTACTGCGCGCAAGCTCAGCCCAGCGGAAAGTCCCAGTCCGGCAACTGGCCCGAGTTACAGGCATGCTGGCATCGATGGCTGTCGCACTCGGCACCACTACCCGAGCGTTCAGCCACGCCATGCTAGAAACAATCAACGACGCGCCGACATGGACCAGCATGGTCCTCCTCTCCCCACCCGCCATCGAAGAGCTGAGATTCTGGATCCAAGAGTTCGACCGTTTCAACGGTGCCCCGTTCCATGTGCGGCACAGCTACGATGCAGTCATCCACGTAGACGCAAGTGCCCACAGCTGGGGTGCCACGCTGAACACATTCCCTGGAGCCGCGACAGAGGCCAGCGCGGCAATGCCCGAAGCCCTTCATCCAACCTCCAGCACACAAAGAGAGCTCGCCGGCGTGCTGTGGGCGCTACAGACGTACGCGCCTAGAATCCGGAACAAACACGTGCTAGTGCGGGTGGACAACCAGGGCGTGTTCGTCATCCTTCACAAAGGAGGTTCCCGAAGTCCCGACCTCACCACCACGTGCAAAGGCATCATCCAAAAATGCATGGAGTTCGAGATTCGGCTAATCATCGAATGGATCCCACGCGATCTGAATGGTCACGCAGACGAGCTCTCCAAGCTAGTCGACCACGATGACTACTCGTTGAAGCTCCCATGGTTTCGCCTCCTCGAGCGTCGCTGGGGGCCCCACTCCATTGACCTATTCGCCAACCCCCAAAATGCACACTTGCCGCGTTTCTGCTCTAAGGTCCCCCACCCCGATGCCACAGCAGCCGACGCCTTCTCACTTGCCTGGATGGCTGAGAACAGCTTTGCATTCCCACCGCCCCAACTCATCCCCGCAGTACTCCATCACGCACAATGCACGAGCGCATCTCTCACCCTCATAGTCCCACACTGGCCTGGCGCAAGCTGGTGGCCGCTCCTCCAGCCCTCCCCTCCATCGTGGGACCCACACATCCAAGTACATATCCCTCTTACACACGGCAGCCAGTGTCTTACAGTCGGCACACACAGTCAAGCATTCTCAGGCACTGGATTATCCAACAGCACTATCATCGCACTCCGCGTGATATTTGACTAACTAGACTCCTCTGCATGTCTCCAGATCTGCTTCCAAAGCTCCAACACGACCTGCTTTCCATGCTCGCCCGCTCTCGTGCCGAGTCGACCATCCGAACATACGAGCCTTACTGGGTGAAGTTCCGCGCCTTCTGCACGAAGGCCAACCTAACGTTCTTGCCGGCATCGGACATGACCCTCGCGCTCTACCTGGTGTATGTCATCCAACGCAAGGCCTCCTTGTCGGTGGTTCAGCTCACATGCTCCGCCGTGAGCTTTGCCCACAGGATGACAGGCTCAACATGCCCAACCACCGGCCCTTTCACCTCCCAAGTGCGCGACTTCGCAAAGCGACACTGCCCGCGCCCTAACAGGATTAAAGAGCCAGTCTCACTCCATCAGGTCCACGATATGGCAGCCTCCTTCCTACAGTCAACTAACCCGGCTGTGTTCCAAAAAGGACTGATCCCGATTCTCATGTACGCCGGTTTCTTGCGCTACTCGGACCTGGTGGCCATCCAATAGCAGGACATCCAATTTAAAGATGAAGCGATGTGGCTACTCATCCCCCACTCAAAAACCGACCAAGCCGGCCAAGGCACCTGGATCCCTATCGCGGCAAGCCCCGGACCCTTTTGTCCGGTCCAGGGCACCCAGAGGCTCATCCAACTCGCAGGGTACAGCCCCCAGTCCTCGGGACCGCTCATCCGGGTCTTCGGACCCCACCTACCGAGCCACGGCACAGCCAAACCTCCCTCATACACCACAATCCGCAACTGGTGCAAGGAAGCCTTCACAAAAATCGGTTTGGGCGAAGAGCGCCTAGGCACCCACTCCTTTCGGAAAGGCGCGGCCACAGTTGCTGCCAACTCCGGGGTTCCTGACAGCATCTTCAAACGCCTGGGCCGTTGGCGTAGTGAAACCGCGAAAGAGAATTACGTCACGCCCGCGACCGATCATCTGGTTGGCGCGTCTCGTCGCCTGCAAGACCCGGTGGCGGCACCATCCTCTGCACAACACGCCGAGGCACTTCTCCGCCACCGCAAGCCCCCACTACACATCTCTCAACGACCCCACTTGAAATGAGAACGATGCCTATTGCAAAGGACAAGAAAGCAAGCTTTCTCAATATTATATTTTTTTAACACACGCAGTGTTTTTCAAAAATTGTGTATTGTGAAAGCGAAGCTGATTGTACTGAAGCATTGGGCATCGTCGAAGCGCGCTACTCGCCCTTCTCCAACTACATATACGTGGGTTGGAGCTCATTTACCTCCACCCACGTCTCTCATTTTTCAAACGGCTCAGTCAACTTTCCCACCCACCCCCCCCTCTAGACAACCACGCATCTCCAATTGACAGCCGGTCACTTGAACGGGAGTGCACAACTAGGATCATGATGTGTGCATGTTTAGATTCGTATAAGCTAGTAAGCGATTATTGTACATAGCCCACTTGAAATGAGAACGATGCCCACTTGAAATGAGAATGATGCCTATTGCAAAGGACAAGAAAGCAAGCTTTCTCAATCTAGTTAACAAGAAAAGGAGGTCGCCATGGAATGGCGGGCGGGGTTATGCTAGGGAAGATTGACGAGAGAGAAGAGAGTCGACTAGAAGAGAATGAGGTATAAGAAGGGGGTTGTTCCCTCTACAGTAGGATGCAGTTTGTAGCATAACTACCAAGCCTACAATTATATAAAATATAATTTTAACACACCCCCTAGGCTTGGTAGTCACAAGCCCACCCAACACCCACACACCCCCTAATCCCGTACACCCTCATGCTCGTGAGCAGCCGGGTATCGACCCCTCCTGCTAGGCGATGACACCCCCGGACAAGAGGCAGCTAGCGGCATCTGGGCGGCCTCAATGACGACAGCGGCGAAGCTCGTGCTCAAGGCGGCTGCGTCGATGAAGGCAGGCGGCGACTGCGGCGGCTGAGGGCTCTCGGCGGTGTGGCACGACCCGGCGACGACCGAGCCGAAGACAGCAGCTGCAGCTGGAATGAGGGGTGGTGTAGAGCAGAGGGCGCTGGCTGGCGTGTGGGCGGCGGCAGCGTCACCGGCGTCGCACGGTCGGCTGCAGCTTGACGGCGACGTCAAAGAGCGGCGTCGATGCTGCAGCGGGACGTCGACGCCGCGACGTCAGCACGACGACGCCGTCACGCCGCCACGTCCGGACGTCGACGGCATCGCCACGGCTGCGTGCTGCGACAGCTGCACCAGGTGGTGCGCGATGGCAACATGTCAACGACACAGCCGCGACACCACGACGACGCCACCACAGCGTGGCGTCGAAGCCGCGGCTGCTCGTCGATGCTGGGACGACACCACACAAAGGTTGCCATGGTATCTTGGAAAAGATGCCACGGCGGCAGGCAGCAGGAAGGTCGCGACGACGGCGAACAGGGAAGTACGCAGCGGAAGCATAATGAGCAGGCCCGGGACGGGCGGCCCGCTCTGATACCATGTCGGAAAGCTAGTTAACAAGGAAAGGAAGCCGCCATGGAATGGCGGACGAGGTTATGCTAGGGAAGATTGACGCAAGAGAAGAGAGTCGACTAGAAGAGAATGAGGTACAAGAAGGGGGTTGTCCCCTCTACAGTAGGATGCAGTTTGTAGTATAACTACCAAGACTACAATTATATAAAATATAATTTTAACAAAGTGAACCGAGGAAGAACTGAGCCAGGGGGGAAATGAGACAAGGGGTAAGTAAGCCGATGGTAGTGAACAAGGGGGAAAGTGAGTCGGGGGAAGTCATCCAGGGGGAAGTCAGCAAGGGGAACGTGAGACGTGGAGGAGGGAGGGGGTGATTATATCCTGTTCATCTTGTGCAATATTCATTCAGTGTTTGTTGCAATTGATGTGTGTCATGTCATGTCCCTTTATTGATTGGGAAATTTTACATGTAGCACAACGATATATAATTGCACCCTTCGATAGTGACTTTCGGATGCTTGTTCCGAACCGAACCCTGTCCTCCCGAGGTTCCATCCACCAGCACCCGTTTCTAAGGTCGGCCACCCCATCCCCACTTCCACCCTTCGCTCGCACACCCCGCACAGAGCCCGCCCCGCCACCTCGTCTTCGTCCTCCAATCACATCCTCGCTATTCGCAAAACACAGACGCTTCAGGCTGCCCCCTCGAAGCTGAAAATGTTTTTCCCGCAACCCAAAAATCACGATTGCTTCCTCAACGTGGGGGACAAAGCTAAGGTTATTTGGTGTTTTCCACACCACGACACCAATTGCCCAAAGAAAACAATTTCCTTGGGCACCAAGAAGTGTTACCCAGGCTTGGGTTGTTTGGCATTGGATCTGTACCCGAAACCCCCCACCTGGCGCGGCTCGCCTGCCACTGTCGCGGATGTCCAGAACTGCGGGAACCTCGAACTTCCCAGAGCATCTCCAACAACACCACCACCGAGTGTCTCTCCAATCCCCGGCACAGCTCGGCGGTAGATTCCAAGCCCACCATCAGCAACCGACGGCTGGGATGATCGCCGCGTTTGGGCTGGATCCTCTCGGTGAGGCTGCGGGAGGCAGGGGGAGGGGAGGGGAAGGGTGGAGTTGAGGAAAGGGATCCGAGGCCAGAATTAGACAGGTCAGCTGAGCCCGTGAGTCTAACCCCAAGCAGGCACCTCTCTATCATGTACACGTATCAGCACCTGTAAGGCGAGAGTACAGTGCAGATCTAGTCCGAAACACAGTATTCAGCTTTGAATCGCGTTCAGATGCGTTGATTCAGGGATTCCGCCGCTTGCCTTGGGAGACTGTCTGTCGAGCAGAACTGAACTGCCGTAGCTCCTCGCGTATCAGATCGATGCGATGGATGGCGGTTCGTCAGCTGAGGTGACACCTGCCGCTGCCGACGCGAAAGATTCCGCAGGGTCTTCGGCTGCAGTCGAATCTCCTGCTGTCGTCGTCACTGTACTTCCCACGCAACCAGCGCAGCCTGCGCCGCAAACGACGGCACCAGTCGCGGCAGCCGCAGCGTCGATTCCTGCCCAATCGTCAGCGCTTTCGCCGCTTACCGCGTCTTCGCCTTCGCTTACCCCGGCTGCCAAGCCACCTGTGACGCAAACACCAGCGACTGTTTCAGCACCCACAGTTGCTGTGACACCAGCAACCGCTGCGAAACCAGCAGTCGCTGCGACAACAGCAGCCGCCGCGACAGCCGCTGCGACACCGTCAAACGCCGCGACACCTAAATCAGGGGCGACACATTCGCCTGCGGCTCCCTCCCGCCCTGCAGCACCAGCACCGACAGTTGCATCAGCAGCAGCAGCAGCACCCGCAGCAGCAGCTCCAGCGTCCGCTGCCGCATCACCACCCGCAGCAGCAGCAGCCGCCGCTCCAGCACCCACTGCTGCGCCGTCAGGTACTGTTGCGCCGTCACGCGCAGCCGTGCCGTCAGCAGCAGCGGTGCCCGCATCAGCAGCCACACCATCGCCTGCTGTTCCCCCGGCTAACGCAGGCGTAGCGGCACCCGCACCTGGAGCGGCTGGTGCTACCGCTGCGGCGGGTGCAGCCAGTGCGGCTGGTGCGGCTCCTGCAGCGGTATTAGCGGCAGTGCCAGCAGCAGTACCAGCAGCAGTACCCGCAGCAGCACCAGCAGCAGCACCAGCAGCAGCACCAACAGCGGCGTCAGCAGCAGTACCAGCAGCGGCGTCAGGTGCAGGAGTTGCGAAGTCAGCCGGAAAACCAACATCGCCCCCTGTTACTCAATTGCCCGCAACTGCTGGTCCAGTCCCTGCTGCTGCCGCACCACGCACAGGCACGCCCCCCGCACCCACGCCTCCAGTTGCCAGTGGCACCACCCGACCACCAGTAGTCGCGCCAGCACCTCGGGCAGATGGGTCGCCAGCATCAGCATCAGCACCAGCGGCCGCAGTTGCAGTTGCATCAGTCCGTCCTGCATCGTCTGCTAAGCCAGCGCAGGGTGCACCACCCACAGTTTCACGATCAACTCCCTCCGCGCCTGCTCCGGGAGTACCCGCAGCTGCGCCATCCGCAACAACTCTGCGGGCAGCTTCTCCCGCGCCTGCATCTGCTCCTGCATCCGCGCCAGCCCCGGGAGCACCGCGCCCACCCTCACCCGCGGCAGTACCCACTGTCGTCCTTTCCCCCACCGCCGCAAAACCTGCTGCTGCGCCAGCCGCAACAGTTCCACGACCAACTCCATCCGCGCTAGCCGCGGGCGTACCGCGCCCGCCCGCACCCGCAGCAGTACCCGCAGGCGCCCTTCCGCCCACTGCTGTGAAGCCCGGAGCTGCGCCTACTTCGGTAGTTATGCGATCAACGGTAGTCCCCCCCCCACCTCGAGCGACCACACCGCCCGCTAGAGCACCCCCCGCAGGCCCCCCCACAGCCCCCGCCGCAGCACCGTCTGCTGCACCTGCATCTGGCCCAAAACCCGCCGCCGCTGCACAGTCTCCCGCAATCGCGCGCTCATCCGCGCAATCAGGCTTAGTCCCGCGACCCACCGGCGGAGCGATGGTGCGGATAACCATTCCGCCTCGACAGGCCTCCCCCGCTCCCGCTCCCGCTTCCGCGCCTGCGGCCGCGCTGCCTCCCGCGCCTAGAACAGCGTCGGAGCTATTATCAAATGAGGTGCTGAAAGGCGGAGGGGAAGTGGGGCCGCCTGTATCCACCCGCGCGCCCGCCGGTACTCCTCCTGCGCCTGCGCCTGTCTCGGGGGCTGTAGCTGCGCCTGCGCCTGCAGCCGGGGGAAAGGCAGCAACCGGCGGAGGCGCGGGAGCGGGTGAAGCGAAGCCAGCGGGAGGTTCTCAGGCGCCAGCGAATGTAAAACCTGCAGGCGGCGGGGAGGTACAGGCGACTGGCGGGGTAACGGCGGCTGGTGACGGGAAGTCTGGCGCAGATGGGAGGGTAGCAGCGGAGGTGAAACCAGGGGTAACAGACGGTAAACCAGCCGCCGATGCAAAAGCCACCTCGAATTCTCCCAAGGCGTCAGCCGCACCAGCAGCCGCGAAGTCAGCTCCAGCAGCAGCAGCAGCAGCAGCGTGTAAAGCAGCAGCAGCCCCGTCCAAAGCAGAGCCCTCTTCCTCCTCCGCGAAGCCGTCAAGCGCGTCCGCGTCAAAGGCTGCTCCGGTACCGCCCAGTAAATCGCCGCCGCCTCCGCCGGAGCCAGTGAAGCCGTTTGAGCTAGAGGACCTGGTACGAGGCGACGTGCGCGCGATTAAAGACCGGATGAAACGCGCCGGGCAGGACGAGACGATGCTAAGGTTAAAGGAGGAGTTTAGAGCGTTAATGGACGGTAGTGGCGGCGCGGGCGTGGGCAACGGGCGAGTAGGAGGCGGGAGTAACTTAGGCGGGATTTACGGCGGGCGCGGGTGCCTGACGTGCGTGATCGTCGCGAATAAGGAGAACGCGGGGAAGGGCGGGTCGAACGGGTATGTGTCTCCCATCTGCGATAGAGTCTTAAAGCTCCAGGCGGATCTAGAGGTGCACTTAGCCTCCCAGCGAAAGGCGCTTAGGGATAGCTTCGCTAACTACCTCGAGATCTTAATCGCCATCCGGTACTCGTTAAGAACGCTATACCTCCAGAAGAACTCGAAGCGCACGATAGGGGACCTGGTGGAGATCTTATTAGGGGAGAGGTGTCTCCACTGCTGCTGCCCGCTGGGACGGGACGGCTACTGCCGAGCGTGTATGTGCGCGCTGTGTAAGAAGTTCGACGAGGACCTCGTTATAGACAGGTTTCGGAATAAGACTAAGACAGGGCGGTGGATCCAGTGCCCGTCGCCCAAGTGCGGCTGTTACGTGCACACGGACGGCGCGACGGAGCGCGGGTTGGTGCGGATACTGACGGAGAAGGAGGCGGAAACTGCGCTCGTGGGCCCGGCGGAAGCGGTAGCTGCGGTTGCAGCGGAAGGAGCGGAAGCAGCGGGAGTAGCGCCATGCCCCGAGAAAGCAGCCTCTACGGGGGATACAGCGTCCGCCGTTCGCGGCGGCGGCGGCGGCGGCGCAGCAGATGCTGGTGAGGGGGAGAAGCGGGGGAAAGAGAAGGAGACGGATGCAGGCGGGGCTGCTCCGGGTAGTGACAAAGACAGGGATGCTGGTAACGGGTGTGAGGGTAACAGAGGGAAGCGCCTTAAGACAGAGAGTGGTGTGACTGAGGGGAATAAGACCAAGGTCAAGACAGAACCGGATGCAGCTCCTTCAGGTTCCATAGGGTCGATAGGTCCTATAGGGTCGCCTAAACCTCCTCCGCCCCCTTCCCCCAGCGGCAGCGTCAGCCGCGCGGACAGTGACGCCGCACCCAGCGTGTCCGCCGCTGGCGGGGAGGAAGCGGGGAGCCCCGCATCCCCGCCTAGGTCAGGCGCGGGCGCGGGTGCGAGCGCGAGTTCGCTGGGGAGTCCAGGGAGCGGGGGCAAGGGGAAACCCGCGCCTGCTGCTGCAGGGAAGCAGGCGTTCGCAGGGGGGGGCGGAACGGGTCCGCGAGTGCCTGACTGCGTGCAGTACATCTGCCCCCTGTGCGGGTACAGGAGCGCCATGTGGGACCTGTTCCGGGAGATGCTGACGACGAGCGCGGGCGTGAAGAAGAAGGACATGGGGAAGCTGAGTGAGGAGATGGTGCGGGTGGTGCGGGTGACGAGGGGTGCAGAGTGGTGCGAGCCGTACCGGAGGTTGCAGGAGCGGTTGACGGAGCTGCAGCAGAGCAATGAGGGGGTGAATAAGGTGGTTGGGGAGCTAAGGGCGTGCTTCGGTGTGCAAGGTGAGCACGGGGCAGGAAGAGGGGGCGCGCAGGGTGCTTCTTTTCTCCTCTCTCGTTTTCTCTAGAGTCCCTCCGTTCGCCCTCTTCGCCATCCCTCCTTCCCCAAATCCCCTCTATTACTTTCTAATTCTCCTCTTCCCCCACCCACCCACCCCCTCCCTTCCCCCCATATCAGAGCGTCGGCACGTGGCCACCATGCTCGCTGCAGGCAGAAGCTCTCTAGCCTTCCCCCCTCCCCCCATCCACTCCACTCCTCCTCCCCTTCCCCTCACTCCCACTCCCCGCGCCCTCCTCTCTACGAACGTTCCGCCCTCGTACCCCCATCCTCCTCTCACTCCTTCGTATTCCACTCCATCCTCACTCCCCGGCCAGCCTCCTCCTCCCTCCGGGTCACAGAACCCCATGCATACCGTTCATCCGCCCAGCCCTCTTACCGTACCTGCTACCGTACCTGCCACCAGTCCAGTCCCGCCCCATGGCTCTGCCTTAGCCCATAATGCCGGTGCCCAGTCATCACCACAGGGGCCGGCAGTATCACCAGCGAACCAGCTAGGCCCGGGGACGAGCATTCTCCTTGGTAATGGTAGGAGTAGTGGGGTGAATGCGTCTGCAGGTAGTGCGCCTGTGGGGGCTAGTACTGGCGCTGTGACTGGTGGCACCGGTGGTGCTGGTGGTACTGGCGCTTGCAGTAGTCACGGGAGCAGCAGTCAGGGCATGGCATTGGGTGCGGGCGCTACGCACCACCAGAAGCAGCAGCAGCAGCAGCAGCAACAACAACAGCAGCAACAGCGACAACAGCTCAACAGTATTCCCTCTAGTGGTTCTGGTAGTTCTGGAGCAGGGAAGCAGACCAATACTGGCACTGGGAAGCAAGCGCCAGGACAAGCAACAGCTACTGGTGCACTCACCACTTCCAACGCATCTCCTCGCTCCCTCATTGACCCTTCTTCCTCCCCTCATAAAACGCCTCCAAGTGCCCTTCTTAACTCCTCATATAGCACCATCTGTAATGCCTCCGCTAACGCCCCATCCAGTTCCCCACTCAGCCTCCTTCCCGCCCTCCCAGGCAACCACGCGATCGGCCCTTCTTCCACCACACCTCCTAGCCATGCCTCCTCTGCTGCTCTCCCTGCCCCCCTCCCTGCCACCCCTCCTTCTGCGAACGCGCCTCCGAATAAGCCCAATGCTACCGGGTCTAACACGAGTTATGGATATTATTCGAATAATGATCCGAGCAATGCAACTCATGGCAGAGCAAGCCCGGGTAACCACTCGTTCCCTGCGGTTTCTGTGGTATCAGAGGGTCCACTTCCTCCAGGAGCCAATCCGCTTCTGCCACCTGGCATGTGCTTGCCATTCCCCCCCGGTATAGTCACAGAGGAGAGGGTTTCGGCCTCAGCCCTTGGCTTAGCGCTTGCTGCTCAATGTGTGACTGTAGTGTCCGTGCCTGAAGAGGGGGGCACAGGTGGAGCAGGAGTGACAGGAGTGGCAGGAGTGGCAGGAATGCCAGGGGGGCCAGGAGGGCCAGGAGGGGTAGGAGGGGCAGGAGGACGAGGGGGGGGGAAAGGAGGAGGAGGAGGAGGGGGGAGAGGAGGGGGCGCAGGAGGGAGGGTAACGATAGCAGAGAGGCTAGGGCTGTTGGGGGAACCAGAGATAGGCGTGTATGGGGTAGCGGGCATGAGAGGGGGGGCGAGCAGGGGGAGCAGGGGCGGAGCGGGATTGCCTTCTTGGAGTAAATCCACACACACGACTGCGGAGAGGAGAGACGCCAAGCATCTGAAAGGGGCTGCGGCTGCGGCAGCGGCAGCGGCTGGGGCAGGGGGCAGTGGAAGTGCGGGGGGCGGAGGTAGAGGGGGGCTTGTGGGAATTGCGCCCAAGGGCGGAGGGGGGAGTATGGCGGGTATGGGGGGTGGGGGTGTGGGGAACTTGGGGGGAGTAGGAGGTGTTGCAGGGATCATTCAGCCACCGCTGCCAGAGTTTAGGGTAAGAGTGGGCAGGCAAGAGTGGGGACTGGATGTGTGCGTGGCATGGTCATTCTGGCATGGATTTCTGCCCTCGTATTCGGCATGGGCATGGGCATAGGCATGGGCTTGTGCATGGGTCCGTGTGTGCTGTGAGTGTGACATGAGGGTACCATTCGTGCAGAACGGTGTGTGTGACTGACGTGTGTGTCTCTGTCTTTCCTCCCTTATCCCTGCTTGATCTCATGTGCCTCTCGTCATGCCCATCTGCTTGCCCCTTCACTGAGCTTCGCTCCCCATCCCTCTCCTTCTGCATCTCTTTGTGCACCTGGTGAGTGCAGAACATTTACAACAGCTCCCAGATCTCCCTCCCTTCATCACTCAACAAGTCAACTCCAGGCGATACATTCCCTTCCCTCCCCCCCTCCCTCCTCGCCTCTCATCATCATCTCTACTCTCGACAAACCCCTCTCCTCTCCTCTCCTCAACTCCCCACCACTGCTTCTGCTGCTGCTGCTGCTACAGCTGCTGCTGCTGCTGCAGCTGCTACAGCTGCTGCTGCTGCTGTCTTATCTCCCCCAAATTCGACCTCTTCTCCTGCTGCTGCTGCTGCCACTGCTGCTGCTGCCCCTGCAGCTGGTACTGGGGGTGGCACTGCAGCAGCAAGCACTTCAGCTGCCGCTGTGCATCACTCTCTCCCCTCCTCCTCCACGCCCCCTCTCTTCCGCACACCCTCACCTGTATCGTCTCAGTCCCTTAAATCCTCCGCCTCTCCAGCCTTGCCTGGCAGTGTATCCTCTCCTCTACCCCCCGTGCCTCGTAATCCTTCACCTGCTGGCTCTACCGTTGCTGCTTCTCGTCCTGCCGGTTCAGCTGCTGCTGCTTCTGCTGCCGCTGCTGCTGGTGCTGCCACAGCTGCCACGGCTATTGCTGGTGCCGCTGCTAACGGTGCTGCGGCAGCAAAGGAGCAGGCAGGTGTGAAGCGCAAAGCACCTGAGGGGGCGCGAGGGGGAAGAAATGATGACGCTGGCGCCACTGGGCGAGCTGTGGGGAAAGGAGGTGGCTCAAGTGTGGCTGCTACTGGCAGTGGTGAGCAGACGGTGCAGAAGGAGCAGAAGGAGCAGCCAACTAGCCGTGCTGCTGCTGGTGCTGCTGCTGGTGCAGGTAGTGCTGGCGGCACTGGTAGTTTAGGCGCTAGTGGAGAGGGGGTGGGGGCGGTGGACAAAGCGGGGAAGAGTAAGGCAGGAGGGAAAGCGGTGGAGCAGGGAGCAGTGAGAGGGCCAGGTGGGACTCCAGGTGCCACGAGCGCTGTGCTAGCCAATGGCAATGCCAATGCTAATGCTGCTGCAGCCACTGCTCCCACTGCTGCCACCCCTCCGTCTACCACAGCTGCCTCCCCTGCTGCTGCTGCTGCTGCTGCTGCTGCTGCCGCTGGTGGGGCAAAAGAGAAAGGTGGCGGTGGAGGTGCGCAAGGAAGGGAAGCAGGGTCAGGCGGTGAGAGCATGAAAGGAGCAAAAGGCAGAGAGCGGAAGAGAGATGCAGAGGACTTGGGGGAGACGGACCACGAGGAAGCGAAGAGGAAGAAAGCAGGAGGGGACAGAGGGGCGGTCAATGGGAAGGAGAAGGCTGAAGGGGCGTCTCCAGGAATGATGCAGGGGGGTATGGAAGAGGCCCTAGTGGGTGCTATAGTGGCGAAACTGGAGAGGAGGAGGCGGGATGTGGAGGAGAAGCGGAGGGAGAGGAGGGAGAGGCTGGAATCTGTTGCAGGGAAGAGGAAGGAGGTGGAGGATTTGAGAGAGGAGAAGAGGAGACGGTTGGAAGCGGTGGAGACGGATGCAGAGAGGAAGCTCCGTGAAGCCGCGGAGCTGGAGGCTCGGGCGGCAAAGGCTCGGGCCAAAGCAGAGGCTGCGGTTCGGGGGAAGGCTGAGCTGACGGCGATGCTCCAGGAGGAGTATAGGGAGAGGGAGGTGAGGGTTGTTAGGGAGGTGGGGGAGGAGGAGAGAGCGAGTGTGGAGCTGGATAGGGTGATTGCGGAGGGGGAGGAGAAGCTGAGGGAGATGGAGAGGGAGAAGGAGGAGATGGTGCAGCGCGTGCGAGAGATGATGCGCATGATGGTCACGCAGGTGGAAGGGTGGGGGGAGTAAGGGGGGGAGTGTGGGGAGTGGGGGGAGTAAGGGAGAAATGGAGATGGTTGAGGGGAGTAAGGGGGGGGGGGGGAGGGGGGGGGGGGTTGAGGGGCTTTAGAGAGGATTGATGGGAGTCGGGGATGGGGATGAGAAGGGCGGATTGTTGGAGGATGTTGCTCTGCACATGGGGCTCCGTCCACCACAGCAGGTTATACGAGATGGGACATGAGAGCACGACATGGTGCGTGCATGCTGCCCAACCATTGTTGCTGCTTCGGCACACATGTAGACAGCTGGTCGGTAGAGTAGATAGGCTCACCTTTTGTACAGCACACAGTAGTTGTACACAGTGCATCCTGTGTAGATCTATTCTCCTGACGTTCTGCGGTTTGTCATTCTTCTTTCAAGCATGCTGGAGCATTTCGTTAGCAAGCTGGTTTGTGGTACTGGTACCAGCCATCCCATTGCATGTGCGGTATTTCTGGGCTTCGACAGAAACCCACATGCCACATGAGACTCCTGTACTGTAACTACTCCTACTGGCTCTCACTTCATGCTCTCCTGCGCTCACCCCTTCAAGAACACTAACCAACAAGTCTTCGTACACCTACACACACAACGCCATGCACCCCAAACTGTGTGGTGACGAGCCTTCTAGCCTGCTAGCGTCCAGTAGGTCAGCCAGGCAATCCAATAGTGATTTAGGAGGAGTAGCAGGCAATCCATGCAATCCTCCTGGCCAGGCTGTAGGAGCAGGACACAAGAGAGGATAGATACTGTAGATCACTCCTCCAGTCGCCCCCGCAGGAACGACATCACCCTGAGCACGAGCCCCCTCTTCTCGGCGCGAAACGCCTCCACCACCCGTGCTTCCTGCTCTGTCATGCTGCCGATCGCCCTGTCTGCTGCGCCCGCCTCCAACCCTGCTGCCTCGGCTGCTAGCCGCACTGCCGCTGCTGCTGCACTGGAGTCAACAGCAGCACTGGCAGCAGGAGAAACACCACCAGCTGCAACAGCAGCAGCAGCGGCACCAGCAGAAACAGCAGGAGCAGCAGCAGCTGAATTTGTTGCGGGTGCGGCAGGGGCGGGTGTATTCGGAGCAGCAGGAGGCACATGGGAGAAGCTCTGGAGAAAGATGAGGCAGAGCCCCAGCAGCGTTCGTACAGTCTTCTGCTCACACTCTCTCCCCAGCGCCCCCATGGGCTCCCACGCCTGCAGCTGCTGCAGCGGAACCCGCCTCACGTCCACAGAGGGAGGCGCGTAGAGCACTCGCAGGGCAGCCAGCAGCCGAGGGTCGATGAAAGCGGGCCCGCCGAGGGATAGCTTTCTGTCGGCATTGGGGCCTGATAGGCCCAGCTTTGCAATCACTTCCATCCGTGCCCTCCCCCCTCCTCCTGCTTCTGGGTCCAGAGGCCCTTCTAGTCTGCTCCTCTTCTCCTCTCTCGTCCCCTCTCCCTTCTCCCCTCCCTTCCCCCCTCCCTCCTCATTCCCCGCTTCTCGCCCCTCCTCCCCCCCATCGGGCCCGTCCAGCCCAGCAGCAGCGCGCGCGGCCTCTATGAGAGGAAGGCCGTACGCCATGGGCAGGGTGTCAAAGGCGTTGTTGGCGGGCACGAAGCCATAGTCCAGCAGATAGAAGTCGGTGGAGAGACGCCCATAGTCAATGCGGATGGGCTGCCCCGGGGGCAGCGGGAGGAGCGCCCGCAGCTGGTGTGGGGGCATTGGGGGAGGGGGAGAGAGGAGGGAGGTGGGTGGAGGGAGAGAAGACGTTGAGCGATACGTGAAAAGTGCTTGAACTTTTCTTGATGGCAGGTGGATAGATGGATGGCAAGAGACTGGCGTTGTAGCGCCTCAGACCATTTGCATAGCAGCAGCATCAGCAGCAGCATCAGCAGCAGCATCAGCAGCAGCAACTGTGGATAGCAAGGAAGGAGAAGGAAGGAGCACATGCCGCCGCCCACCTCTGCTGTGCCATCAGGCAGGAGAGAGATCTTGGCCGTTGGATTGGGATCATGATTCGCCAGATCGATCACAGGCAGAAACACCCTCTCTCCCTCCTCCTCCCTCCTTCTCCTTGACTGCTCTCCACCCGCACCCCCACCCCCCGCTCCCTTGTCTCCTTCACGCACGTTGCCCCCACCTCCACCCACAGTCCCCGTATCCGTATCCCCCCCTTCTTCCCTCCCCTTCTCTGCGACTTTGGGCACTTTGAACGCGCGCGACGAGGCACACCCCATGGCCCATGCGAGGTCGGAGGGGGTCACTGGCCGGTCGCCAAACAGGCAGCAGCGCTGAGACGCCTGGAGGGGGAGCGGGAGGGGAGAAGAAGAGGGGATGGTTAGGTGAGCGATTGGTCTATTGTGAGGGAGCGGTTGAGAATGCTCGGCAGTGGGTGCGATAGCTGAGAACTTGCCTACAGGGCGCCACACTTGCCTGCAGGGCGCCACACTTGCCTGCAGGGCGCCACACTTGCCTGCAGGGCGCCACACTTGCCTGCAGGGCGCCACACTTATCTGCAGGGCGCC